GTACACAATATACTAATCCGTGTTTTGTTGCTGCACTTGAAATTAATATTTTCTCTTAAACCAAATTCTTTGTTTTCACAGCTTTGGTTTAATTTTTCCGACAAAGACGTGACAATATATATAGTTTGGAAATGATTGATAAAAAGACGAGCATTTGGAACGCCTTTTTCGCCGACAAAAAGCCGCCGCTCCCTCTGCACACGTTTTAAAACTTTGAGCGCGCATCAACGCATTTTTAAAATGTACTCCCGACATATATTGTGCATGCTAAAGTGTTCTTTACCAGCTCTAAGATATGATATATATGTTTCACRAAAAGCGCAATTACTTTACAATTATTCTAATCCGAGTTAATGGAAATTGATATGCTGATGACGAACAAGAACGGTTTGAAACTGCCTCGAGCGACGAAAACTTCCAAAACACCATCCATTTTGATTGCACAAGAACTTAATTCCAGCAGACATCAGTTTTTTTATTATCTGGGCAATACGCATTAGTTAGATCAAGCCACTAAAACTATCGTTTTCTAAAAGTACTTTCCCCGTATCAGATAGATACGATAAAGCCACAAAAGTGTCTTCAAAAGGTTCTCTTGTGAATAGTGCATTAAGTAGGATTAAGATTGAAGTGAATCGCCACGAGTTTGCCTAATGGTCGTGGGTCGTGGGTACGAAGTCGTGGGTCGTGGGTATGAAGTCGTGGGTCGTGGGTATGAAGTCGTGGGTCGTGGGTACGAAGTCGTGGGTTCCAATTTTTTTTCCAAATTTATCATTTCTTCACTATACTTCCAAATCGAGATTGTGTGGATTTGTTCCTATAAATTCGGTGCAATTGTGGGTTGTGCAAGGTAGTCTGTGTCTATTTGGCCTTTAAATATGGGCAGAAACTAAAGCACGACTTTTAGGGTGCTTTTCAATGCCTTGGTATTACAAAGGACTATTTGACTTTAAATAGAGAATGCGCAGGATTGAAATCAGCGTATATTTCAAGTATTTAGTTCACTAATATGTTGTTCAACGTCACGCAATTCGGACACAAGGTCTTTAATCAAAAAGGTGTTAACAACTCTCAATTTGTTCAAGTAAACACTTGACGCTGTTTTGGACTGCTGCTTGTCAAGAGCTCTTGCCACTTTAACCAAAACAAAAGACCGACCGAAGACGTCCAAACAGATCTGTTTAGAAGTATAACCGTCTATGAATGGCCTATCGTCTATGTACTGTTTAATAAACGAGCAGGAGTGTTTTATCAGATATAAAACCTCCTTCATGGTCATGATTTCTAGTGTGTTTTCTTCATGAATGATTAATGAGTTTTCTAATAGAATATAGTCATACTCGACCAACTTTAGAGCTCTATATAACATAAAGAAACGAATTAGTATTCCCTGTTTGTCATTGGTAGTTAAAAGCAAATATTTTGAGTTTTGGCGTGATAATAGAAAATGAGAGGAGCATCTTATCAGATATTTCCATAAATTTTACACCAACAATCAGAAGCAAAAATAGACTATTTGAAAAGCGATCGAATTAGAAGTGTGTTGAGAATGATTCGAAATTCACAAAAAATTTTGTAGTGTCCACACACCGTGAGCCATGCAGAGTAAAATATTCAGTTCAATTTATGGCATAGCTAGGCTCTTTCCAGTCGCACCCAATACGAAAAGATACTAGATCTCTCGTATACATTAGGACATAAAATTAAAATTTGGTTCCAATAAAACTGAATATAAGGTTTGAGACTGGTGATGAAGATGAAGATGGAGACATGTGGACATGATTTTTTAAAGAGCTGACTCTATTCGAATTTCTACTTTCCTTATAATTTAGGTATAGACCCGCAAAATCAAGAATAAAACATCGTTTTGATTATACTTACATCAAATCGGTTCTTYTCTAAGTTACTAAATATAACTTCTTTGACCTTCTTGGTATTTAAGCCCAACTGATACGCTGCCGCTGCATAAAAGCAGTCCCTATCAACCTTGGAGTCGTAGGTAACGGTAAACCCCGCACTTTCAAGTCGTTTACTCAGGATTTCCATATTAACACAAAGAAAACTACTAAGAAATAGTGAAACAAGATTTCTCGCAACGCGAATTTGCTGTCCATCGACTTCACACGTTTGCAGCGCGCGGCTTGTCGCTCCAGTTTCTAGGTAACATCCGGATAAAGTCCATTGAAGACTCCTCGTTTAAGCG